CTCTTTAAAGACAGGCTTAATAGAGGACAGCTGGATTCCCAGAACTGCTTCAATCTCTTATGACATCATGTGCCGTGTGACCTCTGTACAGTACTCAAGCAGCGTACAGAAGAACACAGCCGGAAGAATCTCAGGGATCTCTGGGAAATCCTGGAGCATACTCTGAGAAACCACTGAACTAGATCCACATACAACACGGATAAATCTCAAAAACACACTGCTAAGTGAAAAAATACATACAAAATGACACACACAGTAGGATACCATTTCCGTAAAGTTAAAACACAGAGAGCCATACTTGATATTGTGTTTGGTACATACATATTAGGACAGTGGTTACTTGTGGCAAAGACGAGACAGGAAAGGGATAGGTGAGCACACTTTAACTGGATTTGTGAGGTTTTCTTTCTTTAAACAAACAAGTTATGAAGCAAATACGTAATAAAATATTGAGACTTGTTAAATCTGGGTAATACTCGCTTTTCAGTAATTCTGAAATAGTTCACAAATTAAAAATTTTAAATATATATTTTTTAAAATCCTAATGGCTGTATACTTCAAGCCACTTAGTTTCCTTAAAGTGTACCTCCCTTTGAGTAAAATATAGTTACAAGATACCTGGATTTTATAAAAAGTTGCTTGGAAAAATAATTTGACTGGAGTAAGAATAGACTGGCAACATTAACTTCAGTGAGTTAAGCAGTGGAGGTGGGGTGGGGGTCACTCAGCTCAGGTGGTGTGCCTTAATACGTACACCCCTTGGTCAAAGGACACAGGCTCGAACAGTTGAAAACTATCTAACTACATGAAATTCTCTCCACCCAATAATTGAGATAATTGTTTTTAGAGATAATGACCATGTGCCAGGTACTGCTCAGAGATAAGAACAAATGAGAACCTGTCTCTACAGCGTTTTGAAAAGATGACAAAAATATAAACACACAGTTAAAACATAATAGGTTAAATGCTAAATTAAAGATGTCCACATTGTTACACGAGACAGAGAAGAAACAATGAGCCCGGAAAAATGATGGTGCTATTAACAGAAAGAAAGCTAGCTGGTTTAGAGGCTGTGGGTTACCAAAAAAAAAGATTTTCAATAAATATACTAGGCATCTACTATGTGCCAGATAAATTTAGTTTCAGCCATGTTCAGACAGAGGACACCTGGGTGGAGATGGTCAGTAGGCCACTGGAAATGCTAGACGAGAAACTAGAAGAGAGGGTGGGCACGTTAAAGGACACCAACATCAGCGGAGAAGATTCGAGAAAAAACAACAGAGGATTGACCTTGAGTGAAATCCCATGGTAGAAGACAGAGAAGGCACAGAGAGTTTCTGAAACAGAACACTTTTATATGACACACTGCTGACATGCTGTGGAACAGTTTCCCAGTTTGGGAAATACTGGATTTAGGAATAAGTAGGATGAAAAGAAAGAAAAGTACTGGTGAAAGGAGAGAGAAGAGGTGAGGTTTTTGTAAGATGAGCAAATCTAGAGATGTTTACAAGGAGAGCGAAAGACACCAGCAGATTAGAGGGAATGATGCAAGCGGCAGAATCACTGACAGAGCGCTGTCCTTTGGGACGGGAGCAGCACACAGGCAGAGCAGCTGGGCCTCAAGGAGGCCAATTCTTCCTGCAGTGAGAGAACAGGAGGAAAGCCTAGGCAGAGGGAGGAAGAACATGAAGTGGAAGGAGGGAAACTCAATGGCTTAGATCAGATGGTGGTCTTTCTGGTTTTCGTAAAAGATTAGGCCATCTCTGCTGAGGCTGAGGAGTTTCAAGGACAGGTTGAGGAGTTTAAGAGTGAAAAAGAAAGTCTGGAATCACCAGTGTGCGTAAACACAAATAATACAAACAAGGTCATCACTGACAAGTCCAGATGTGCTTGGAGAGGAAGCATTTACAAAAAGCAATGTGGAAAAAAAAATTTTTTTAATGCACTGTGAGCTGGTTTTTAAAAAAAGAAACTTACATCTATCTGAAACATATGCATAAATTAAAAACTAACGCTTCATTAATCCAGGATGGTTGGGTAATAAGGTGCTCCACCAGTCAGTTTTCCAGAGCATCAAGGTCTACCCTTCAGGCAAAAAGCATTGTATATTTAACTGTTTTGGATAGAAATCCTTCTAAACTATACACTTATCTCTCTTCTTAATTATACAACTTGAGTCTAACAATCTATCTTGCACATTCACTCTTGCCGTTCTAGAACATCTACCGCTGCTGTACTGCGCGTGCAGCAATACAATTCTCTTTTTTCTTTTTAACTCTTCCATGTCTTTCCCAGCTATCAAGATATATAAAGCGACTGGTTCTTCTGAGTTTATGTTTACCTTTACCACCTCAACAACCACAGCCCGCCTTAGCAACTTGGGCCTCCTACAATGAACTGTTTCTCAAACTTTTTGTAACCATGGCCCTTTATGATAAACATGAGAACCTCCAGTTCCCTCCCACCGTCACCTGGAGCATGACTGCTCTGACCTGTGGCAGTCTAAGAAAATGGAAAAACAAGTTTCTAAAGAATAGTTAACGCTACCTACAGATTTCTATCTTAAAATTCTAGGAAACACATTCCCCAAATGTGCATCTAGGATAGTCAAATATTAATCAAAACATGAGAAGGCCTGGCTTAGCAAACAGCTTTAGTTACCTTCTCAAACAAAGAGATGGTTACTCTCACCAGGAAGAACAGGGATTGCAAAAGGCCATCTGAAGGCCACTGCCTTTTTAGTAATTACTCTTCTAATCCACTTTTCAAAACTGACTTCTTAAATTACCGTGGGAATACCTACAGCTTCATTCCTCATTTTCGTAAAGAAACCCACAGCACTAGTCCTGTAATTTTCAACCATGGTAAAAATTAGAAACCCCTCCCTATTTGTTTACTACATCTGAGCAAAAGGTGATTTGGAGTGAGAAGTTCGGCTAGAAAAAAGGAGCAGCTGTCTAGTGGAGATGGACCAAGCAAAAAGTAGCCAAATTGGCTTAACTTCTCAACATTCTTGATCATCACTCCGGTAGTGGGAACACTGATCAACTTGCTACTCTCATTATTTCTCAACTTTGAAACTTTTCTTAATCCAATGTAACTGCTAAGTGAATATAAAGCCCGGCTCAGGTGTGTCATCACCGTGCCATCTCAGGGCTTCCTTGCCCTCCCCCATAAGCATAAGCCTCCCCACCTGGCCAGCAAGCTCTTCCACCATCTACCTTTTCTAGCCAGAATTCCCACCACTCCCCTACCGACCCCATCTTCTCCAGTCAAAGTGTAACCACTGGCTGTTTTCTGAAGGAGCCTCACCCTTGAAATGCCCTTTCCCCACCCCCACCTCTGCCTAACAAAGTCCTACCCATCCTTCAGTAACCTTCTCAAAATGTCACCTATTTCAGGAACCCTCTCCTGACGCTCCAAATGGAAACCTTGCGGTCCTCCGAAGCCCCAGTAATTGCCTGTGCCTTTCCCGCAGCACTTTAAGTGCATTTCACCTTGTCTCATCTGCCTCTGACCAACAACTTCTCGCAGCCACCGTCTGCATTACAAGAACCTTTCGAATCTTTCTTAGCACCCAGCGCAGTGCCTCGCCAACAAGGGGCTGCGAGATTACAGGCGAGTTGTACGGCAGGCAATCACAACTACCTTAAGGGATGCAATTCCACCTTAGAATTTTTCAAATCAAACAGGGGCTTCTAAATAACCATGAGAAGTACAGGAACAAAAAATACTGCATCACATGACGTTGTCCTTCAGTAAGGAGATAAAAAACTTTCTGCGCTTTCTTTACTCTTCGAAAAAAAGGAAACACTACCAAAACATCACTAATAGCCTCAAAACAGCTTTTCAAAAAAGGTGTTTCCAAATAAACGAGCTGAGAAGCCTTCCAAATTTTATCCCTCGGTTTTTGTGTTGTGCAACTTGCGCTTTTTCCCCTATTGGATAACAGAGTGGTGAGAACCTTCGCATCAAATTTCATTTTTCTTTCTTTATTCAGATGCTTGGGAACGCAGTGATTGTTGGAAAACCACCGCATCGAAAGCACCCTAATAGCCACGTATGACTTGGCGTGAGTAAAAATAACACGTCTCAGGGTCCCATCTGCCGTGAGGAGCCCAGCAGCCCGGGCTGCCACCCGCCCAGCCGGCCCCCATCGGCTGCAAGCGCAGAGGGAAGGCGCGGGCCAGAGGCGCTGAGGGGCCAGACGTCCCCGGCGCCGGGCGGCAGCAATGGCCGCCTGCGGCAGCTGAGTTCCACTCCAGCGGAAGCAGCTGCAGCCAGTCACGGGGCTGCGGAAGGCAGGGCAGGAAGGTGGCGCTGCCGCCGAGCGCCTGCAGCCCGAGCGCCCATCATGGCGGCGAGGGCAATGGCCGCCGTGGGGAGCGAGCACGCCCCTCCGCGCGCACACGCTGCCGCGCCGGGCCTCCGGGGCCCGTCACCGGAGCCGCCGCCGCCGCCGCCCGCTCTCCGACCCCCCCTCACGGACTGTAGCGGAATTTTCTCTTCAGACGCCGCCTTCAAGATGGCGGCTCCCCCTCCCGGCAACCCCTCAGTCGTCCCCTGCAGCAGGCGCCGAGCCGCCGCCATCTTGTCCCCCGTCCCTCCCCCCCTCGCTGATATTTACATAGCGAAAATCGGCCCGGCCGGCCTGCGGCCTTCACCTCACGCCTGCAGCCTTCGCCTCCCTGCCAGGCCTCGCCCCCGCGCGGTGCCCCGGGCCGGCCGCGGCGCCGACCTAGGGCCCCTCAGCCGCCTCCCGGGCCACCGGGCGACCCTCCCCCAACCCCCGCCCGTTTACGGAGCGCGCCTCCGCCGCTGCTCGGGGCAGCCGGGCTCCTCCCCGGGCCTAACTGCGGCCTCCTCGGGGCCTGCTCGGCGCCGCGCGCCACACCGCCCGGCCTAGCGCGGAAGGGCGCCTTGCGGGCCGCCGACCAGGCCGGGACCAGGCCGCTGCGCGCGCGCTAGGCCCCGCGGCCGCGGCGGCGCCCGAAACTCACCGGACGGGCGTGCGGGCGGTCGGCGACGGTGGCGGGTGCTGCAGGCCGGCCTTTCTCTGGAGCACTGGGCCGGGCTCCGGCTGGTGGGGCGGGAGGAGGGAGGGAGGAGGGGCCGAGCTCGGAGCTGACAAAAAGCGGCCCAGCTCCCCGGCACGGGCCCGCCGTCAGCACGTCACGTCACCGCCCGGGAGAGAGACCCAGGAAAATGCGGAAGGGTAGATAGGCCCCCTCCTCCGCCCGGTGTGTACCCCTGGAGCCCCGGCTCGGCACCGCTCCCGCCCGCGACCGGGGAGCCCAGTGGCCTCGCTGCGGCGGGGTCTCCGGCGGCCGGAGTCTCCGTGACAGCGCCCCCCTTCTTTCCACCTCCTCCGCGCTCCCGCCCGCCGCCGCCGCCGCTACACACGCGCCTCTGCCGCCGCTTCGGCCGTAAAGGCTGCGCGGGGCCGCGGTCCGGCGACCCCGCGGAGAGGCAGGCGGCCCTTCCCAGCCCCGGCCCGGCCGCCCCCCACCATCTCCCGTGGGCCGCGGCCGCCCCCCGGGCCCTCCCCGGCGATCTACCGCCTCTCCGCGCCGGTCCTGGCCGAGGCGCCTGCTCGAGTTGTTTGCAGGCCCTCAGACCCCCGCCCGCAGTAAATGTGTTTTCTTCATCCCGGTGGCTGGAGAAGAAGATAAATTTAGCAACCCCCGCCGTCCCCTGCCTTTGCTTTAAAAAAAAAAAAAAAAAAAAACTTTGAAATAAAATGAAAATAGGCTTGCCAGTCTAAATGGGTGTATGGGCGAGAGAAGGGGGAGAAGGGTTATCCTGCAGCAACTACCAAACAGGTTTTTGGATTTTTTTTTAATAAGCGTTCAGTCAGAGAACCTAACTGATTTTATTAGTTTGCGGGGAAAAATGAGGAAGAGGGTTACATTTTGAAACTCGTTTCGCACATTGCAATAAGCAGGAATTTTTGATATATTTTCTATATATCTGTGTTTCAGAGTTTAGGAGCCTATGAAATGTAGGTCTTGTGTAATTGTTTCATAATGATTTTTTTCACATTAATAAATATAGAGAGAGGTAGCAGAATGGGGTATGGATTCTTTTTTACAAACTACTTAATCCTTTTAAAGTTTAAAAAGACTTAGGAGAGAAGGAAAAATAGCTATTTGATTAAACAAAGCGTTTATCAACTCCAAAAATGTGTATTTTGCGTTTTCATTAGTTTAAATTTTTAAGCTCTTTCCATACTGAACTTGGGACCCAAACTATGTTTAAAAGTTCCTAGTTAAACGTTAAATAGTGTAGTCTTTACATTAATCTGGACTCTGACGCTTTATTTCTTCAGTTCACTAAATGTTAAAGACATTTTTAGACAGTAAAAAACACGAAAGTTATAAAACAAATAGCATATTGGTGTGAAATGCCTTTAAATACAGAGGACGTGTATTTTAGTTTCCTGTCATAACTTTTAAAACTCCCAGAATGCAAGCTGTCCTTTTCCTCAGACATCTTACAATTATAAAATGCTTTCAAAAAGGAAAAACAAAGGTATAGCAAGAAGAAATCCCTGAGAATGTACTGGATGGTAATTTTTCTCTCAAGGTTTTAGCTTTGATTGTTTTTTTCAAGCGATTAAATTTCCTTTCAAAAATGACAAATGACAACATGTCTTCCTTGTTTATAGAAAGTTCCATTGGGCTGTGATGTAGACTGTATTCACAGAAAGGTAAATAAAACTAATATTTATTCAAGTAAAAAAAATGAAAAATAGTTTGCATACCCACACTAATATAATTTTTAAAATTTGATGACCAGCGTTTTAAGTACTTTCCAAGGGCCTCGGTTTAATGCTATGGTATGTCAGGAATGGAGTCTCATCATCCATGCAACTGTAAACAGCATGAACACAAAAACCTAATGTCAGCGTTCTTGTTAGTTCTTCCATAATTACCAACAAATACTTCTAAGTCCACCAGTATAAAGCACTTAAGAAAAGCGTGTCAAGAAGCATAAGCAAAAAAGATGTTTCTTCAATTTAAAAGACCAGGAGTCGTTTAGGGATTGATATTTTTAAAGAGCCCTTTGCCATTGCTTTTCATACATAAAGAGACTGTTAACTTTGATGGGAAACAAGGAAAGGATGGCCTAGTTCTATTAATTATTTTGGATAAAACTTTACTGAAGTCCAAAAAAGATTATTCTATAGATGATTGTACAGATGAGGTCAACTATACTTTTCTTTGAGTTTTCACAAAAGGGAAAGTTAAGTTGTACTTCAAATCCATTTATGGAAGGCCGTAAAAAACAGTATGATAAAAATCATTTTACTAGAAGCACACAATATAAAATACTCATGATAAAGTGAAGGTGCAAAGGAAGTGTGAAGAGCAGAGATCAGAAATCATTAAATGTTATAATAAAATACAAAATACAGTTTATGAAAAGCTTCATGATAGGACCTTGAGAACACCTAAGATCACTGAAAGCGTTTGGTAATCAAGCACTGGGTGATTAAGCACCCGACACCTGGCCCTTAAATGACCTACTACAGCCTATCTTGCATTGATACTTTCGTTCATCGTTTTAGTGTCAGGGACTTACAGAATTCTGGGCACAGGGAGTAAAAAGATGTGCTTGGCCTTGGGGAACTGAATAAGTAGGCTGTCTGTCTATGGCAGAATAACAACATTCTTAAGTGCTTTCATTTCTCACTTAAATAAACACACAATAAACGGAAATTTTATTTAAGGAGATTGAGAGCAGAACATTTCAAAGGCATATGCTGTGAATACAAAATAGATGGTTTCAAAGCAGTCAAAGGGATTTTGGTTATGTGTTAAAATTTATTTGTTCCTTCAGAGCTATTACAGATAGTTAAAAGCATCTACTCAAGGTTTTGACAGTGTTGTAGTAACTTAACTAAAGATCTCTGACATGTTTATAGGTCCTTGAGCCAGAAATAATGCAAGGCCTTTCGATCATTTTTCCAGAGAAAGATTAGTCCGAAAACAAGCTGTTAAAAACAAAAAGGAAGAAAAGAAAACGGAAGAAGAAGAAAAGAAAAGAAACTGTTGATTTTTCACTCCACATCACTGACTGATGGAAATCCAAATAGGAAACAATAAATTATTGGCTTATGAGAAAATATAGACCTTTTTGAATAAAGTTGTGGTAATTCATTATTTTATATCCCAAAGGTTACAAAATATTTACTTTCCCCTAGAAAGGCCCTAGTTTTATTGAACTACGTACACCGTATAAAAATTAACCATTTATCTGATATTTGATACTTAAGTTATCTCATACTTATTGTAACATGAGCAAATTGCATCATGTTGGACTTCAGCAGGCTGTAATTAAGGCCGAGTAAGAATCTTTAATCTGAGTCTTTAAGCCACACACCCTCCCCAAGGGAAATAATTTTAAAATTAACAATAACTGACAAATAGGTGATTTTCAAACAGTATTTTTCACATGGGTCATTAGTTGAATAAGACATTGTTTAATTCCTGAAAATCACCAATAGCCAAATTCTGCCTCGTGGATTATGAATCACAGGACACAGCAAACAAACTAGCTCCTAAAAGAGGTAAAAATCAATATGTGAGGACTGGAAACAGTGATTAACAATAAGGAGCACCCCGGCTGCCCAGACTGGGCCCTCTATATATACAATTTTCCACTAAAGGAACCAAGATTTCTGGGAGAAATGACTGATTCCTGGGCTGGAGCAGAAAAGTACAAGATGAACCAGGAATATCTCCTTATAACAGAAAGCACGAAAAGAAAGTGTCAAAGCTTACTAGGGGTGTGTCAAAGCTTACTAGGGGTGTGTCAAAAGGTCTCAGGAGCCAGCTTAAAGAGGCTCCAGTTGGCTAAAGATGAAAAATTTGAATGTCAAAAAGAATAATTGCTATGCATTGAAACACATCAAGTATGTTCATGAGTTTATAATTAGACTTTTAAAAATGATTGACTAGTGGTGATGGTTGCACAGCTTTATGAATATACTAGAAACTAGTGAATTGTATACTTTAAAAGGGTAAATTTTATAGCATCTGAATTATATCTTGATTTTTAAAAAGTAATCACCCTTGGAGAATATTAGAGAATCAACTCATTATTTTGAAAACTAGTAAAGGGAAAGATCAGGCACTTATCCTGTATGAACTGTTCCTTAGGCTAAACAAATAGCTGATGAAGGGAATTTTCTTTTAATAGAAGTGTTCCTACTAATACATGAAGAAGGCTTGATAGAATTAGAATATCACCAGTTTGCAACCTCTAATGAGTGAATGGATCTAGGCAATTATCATCAATGACTGCTAACCAGAGTGACAACCAGACATGTCTCATGATGGAAATACACAGTGCCACTAGCCAAGAAAACCAAAACTGAACCTGATCAACCCTCTAACTCTAATTGCCAAATGACAGGAAATACAGGGGACAGAGAAACATATCAATGATACCACAGGGATGCAATCGACAAAATCCAGATGGTGGGAAACCCTATGGGACCTGCTTCTTTCAACAAATAAATTATAGGAAAAAAAATCAGAGGGGAAGCCAATAGATGAGAAAAGAGTTAAAAGACATATCAATCAATTGCAGTGTATGAACTTTGTTTCAATCTTGATTCAAACAAACAAGCATAAAAAAATGATGAGACAACTGGAGAAATGTGAACACTGACCAGATTGTTGTCAACACTAACTGGATATATGCTGACATAAACAAATTATTGTTAATTTGGTTTAGGTGCCATGATGACGTGGTTATACCTTAAAAAGAGTCCTTATCTTTTAGAGATATATTATCAAAATATTTACAGATAAAATAATACACTCTCAGAGATGGCCTTCAAAACAGAAGGGTGAGGGCGGAACAGGGGTTGAGGGTGAAGAGGGTGGGGGATATAAATAAAACAAGATTGGCCATGAGCAGACAGTTGTTGAAGCTGGATGATGGGTACATGAGGATTTGATTTATTATTCTCTTTGGGTATACGTTAGAAATTTTCCTTAACAAGTTCAAAAACCAAAAAAATAAAAAATAAATAAACATACAAAGAAAAAATTGCCTTCAAATTTCAAAGAATCTTTGGAGTGGGGCAAGCATTACAGATACTAGTGGTTTCCTTTCTCACTTTTCTGTGGACCATACACCACTTATTTTCAAAACAATTAGCATAGGAGCCGGCCCCAGGAGCGCTCCGCTTCAGCATCGCAGGGTTTTACTGGATCAGATCCTGGGCGCGGACCTAGCACCACTCATCAAGCCATGCTGAGGCAGCGTCCCACATAGCACAACCAGAAGGACCCGACAACTAGAATATACAACTATATACTGGGGGGCTTTGGGGAGAAGAAAAAAAAAGATTGGGAACAGATGTTAGCTCAGGTGCCAACCTTTAAAAAAAAAATAAAACAATTAGCATAATTAAGCAATGAAATAAATAAAACTAGACCACTTATGATTAAGAAGCAGCAATGGTTTTCAATTTGCAAGGGAACACCTTGCTAAAGATGTGGATTCCTGAGCCTCACCTCCTAGAAATTCTGATTTTTAGTAGGGATGGGATAGGGCTGAGGAATCTGCAGTTTAACTAGGAGCCCAGGCGATACGAGTGGGCCACACACCAATGATACTTTAAGAAATATTAGTACATCCTGGCCAATGCATCTTTGCCCACATTTATAAGAGTTTCTCTTGCAGTATAAAGAAGTAAAATTGCTGGATATGGCACATTTTCAATATTCCTCTCCAAAATGACTATACTAATATACATTCCTCCAGCAGAAGAAGAGAATTCCCAATTCCCCATTCCTTGGCCAACTCCTGATGTGCTCATACTTTTTCATTTTTGCCAAGAACATAACTACCTTACAGAATGACCTTTCAGTTAGCAATATTTGCTAAAGGAGCTCTTGAAAAATCTACCACGTTGTGAACAAAGACTTCTTTTCAATGACGTAATGACTTTTTACCCCAAAATATGTTAAATGAATATGCTAAAAGAAGTGATAATTCAACACTACAGTTTAAAGCAAAAATATTCTCACCAAATACAGGACGTAAGAATTCCTCATCAGAGAATTTCATATGGAACAAATTTGAATTGTGCTCTGTGTTTACAAGAAGCACAAATATTTTTTGCTTGTTTTTGCATACAGACATCAAGCAAATAGAAACAAACACCCCAAATTGAGAACAAAACAGGAAGAAGCAGCTGGCAGAAATGTGGAAAGTTTCGTAATTCTCCCAAAGGTGAGGCAAGCCAAGGACACAGCAGGAATCTGAACAAGTAAAATTAAGTTTTAACTAAAGTGTGAATCATGGATGTAAGACTCCTGGGTGCCCTGGCAATGGAGCCCCCACCTTATGGTCATACTATTATACTAAGGGGAAAATGCACACGAAAGTGAAGTGGGTAGTAAAGAGAGTCAGAGCGTTACATGATCTGGTCTGGTGAGGATCTGGGGAATTTTTGCTGTAAAGAATGACTTCACGGGCAGATTTTTAAAATGGATTATGAATAAAAAGGTTAAACTGAGCCTGCGCTCTGGAACGGAGCTTCTCAAACGTTAACGAGCACACAACCCCCACCCCCCCAGGATGTTGTGAAAAAGTTCCTTCGGGTGCGGTGGGTCCAGGATGGAGCCTGAGACTCTGCATTTCCAACAGGCTCCCAGGCGAGGCCGACGCCCTGTTCTGAGCAGCAGGGGTTCCTGGGATCCTGCAGAGCTGTTGCTCTCCCCGCGGGCTTTGCGACGAGTCTGTGACCGAGAAGTCGCAGTAGAGCGCGTACCTGCCAGCGCTGCTGCCAGAAACACAATGGGACGGGGAAAGGGCAGAAACCCATTGCCTCAGAAACCTTCCCACATAAAGGGGCTGGGCTTGTGGCAGCCAGTGGCTTAGAGTCCTGCTCTGGGCCTTATGTGGCCCAGGAGTGTTGGGAGAAGAACGGGACTCAACCGCTCTTGGGATTAATGCCACCACCCACGTCCATGCCCCAAGGAACTCAACATTCAGAAGTGGAGGAGAGAGAAAATGACCAGAGAGATGACAGATAGGGAGAAGGGAGAATGACTCCAGCACACAGGTACTTGCTGTTCCTAGCCAAGAGATGCAATAATGAAAGATATTTCAGAAAAAGATTTTCCTAAGCTTCAGAAGATCTCTATCTGCAGACGGAAAGAACTTACCCCATTTCAGGGAAAATTCACGACCTACACACAGACACATTTGGCAACCATTTTTAACGACAAGGGGGAAAAAACCCTGCAATCAGTAAGACAGGAGAAAAGAAAGCATCCCGTGTTGAGGGCTGACCTGGTGTTCGGCACGCTACTTGGTGTTTGACGTGAATTCTCTCCTTTAGACCTCACGGCATTCCAATCAAGTGGGGGTGCTGGCCTTTCCGTTGACCGGATTCGGGAACTCAAGCGATTCTGTCGGGATGCCTTTGCTCTCCAGCTGCCTCAGCTCTTTCATTCCCCGTGGTAGCAGACCGGCTTCCTCCAGACGCAGCACAGGCAGCTCAGGGCTCACGTTATCCTAGCTCAGTAACCGCGGAAGAAAGAGAGAGTCTCTCTTCTGGTTTCGCCACAGAAGGGCTCCAGTTGTTTTTGTGCCTGTGCTCGCCCTGGGATCCATCACAGTGGCCAAGAGGATGGAGTAAGATAATTGGCCAGGGGCCGCCGGTACTCTGATTAGAAGTCCCGCCAGAATTAAAAGGTTGGCGTGAGAAAAAGTAAACATACAAAAGAGAGCAAGGATGGTTTGGCCAACAAATGCAAAGGGTCCAGGACAGGGAGGTCTATGAGTTGCCCCACCTTACAGATGATGAGACAGCATGGATTAGAGAGGTCAAGGTCACACATCTAGTCGAGGTTGAAGAGCCAGGATATAAACCAAGGCAGTCAGAGCAGAGCTCTTCACCACTATGCTGTAAGGCCACAAAGTGACTTTGGTTTCAGACTTCTCTGCAGCATCCGCTTTCAGAAGAAAATGGAGCAACAGCTAGACTTTTTAGAGAAAAAGATTGTAACCAAAAATTCGTACACTCTGCCAAATTGTCTTTCATGATAATAGCGAACAAATATTAAACACAAAACTGTGTGACAGGCACATTTCCAAGTT